AAGAAAAAACAAGTGGAATAAAAAACAAAAAGATTAATAAAGCTAATAAACCATTTAAAAGGGTTAAATTATTTTAATATAATAATATAAATAGAAATATCACAATCCAAAACAAATATTCTGTTTTTACATAAGATCAAGTGTCAAATTTGAGAGATTAGTGCAATTTGCTAAAGCAGAACTTAAGCCTGAAGCACCACTTGCACCAATTTAATTAGAACTTTTTAAATATAGAACAAAAAATATATAATTAATAAGTTATTAGGAAGTAAAAAATATGAAATTATTAGAAATGAATTAACAAATAATAAAAGAAAATGTTGAAAGTGAGAAAATGAAAGAAATCAAGAAAGATACAAGAAAAAAAACACAAGTAAAGTAAAAAAGAAAAAGATTAATAAATTTAATAAATAGCTGTAAACAAATAAAAGAGTTTAATTGTTTTAAATTCATTTTATAAATAGAAATATCACAATCCAAAACAAATAATTTATTTTTACCTAAGATCAAGTGTCAAATTTGAGAGATTAGTGCAATTTGCTAAAGCAGAACCTAAGCCTGATGCACCACTTGCACCAATTTAATTAGAACTTTTTAAATATTGAAGAAAAAATATATAATTAATAAGTTATTGAGAATAATAAAAGAAATACAAACACAAGTACGTACAATAAAAAAGAAAAAGATTAATAAATCTTATAAAAAGCAAATAAATAAATAAATTTAAAGAGCTTAATTGTCATCAATTCATTTTTATAAATAGAAATATCACAATCCTAACAAAACAAATAAACTGTTTTTACCCAAGATAAAGTTTCAAATTTGAGAGATTAGTGCAATTTGCTAAAGCAGTTACTAAGCCTGATGCCCCACTTGCACCAATTTAATTAAAACTTTTTAAATTTTGAAGAAAAAAAATATAATTAATAAGTTATTTAAAAAGATAAAAGAAATAAAAACACAAGTATAAATTCATTTTTAGAAATAGAAATATCACAATCTAAAACAAATTAACTGTTTTTTTACCCAAGATAAAGTGTCAAATTTGAGAGAGTAGTGCAATTTGCTAAAGCAATCCCTAAGCCTGAAGTACCTTAATCACCAATCTAATTTCTACTATATAATTAATTAATAATTTTTTTAGAAGGAAAAAATAAATGAAGAAAATATAGGAAATTATAAGAAATGAATTAACAAATAATAAAAGCAAATGTTGAAAATAAAAAAAACAAGTGAAATTATGAATGATGGAAGAAGTAAAAACACAAGTAGAATAAATAAGAAAAAGATTAATAAATCTAATAAAAAGCTAACAAACAAATTAAAAGAGTTTAATTCTTTTAATTCATATTTATAAATAGATATAATATATATTGAGAAATAGGAAGTTTGGGACTTTTGGAAGAAAAATAATAATCTCCAAGGCCTTGGGTGATGGCCTTGGGGATGATTATTTTTCTCTGAAAATCCTGACTCAAACTCCATTTATCTTTATATAATATGATAATCCTAAACAAATTAAATATTTTTACATAAGATCAAGTGTTAAATTTGAGAGATTAGTGCAATTTGCTAAACCAGAACATAAGTTTGAAGTACCTAAATCACCAATTTAGTTTCCACTTTTTAAATATTAAAAATAAAATAAATATATAATAAATAAATAAGTTTTTTAGAAGGAAAAAAAGAAGAAAAAAATATGAAATTATAAGAAATGAATTAACAAATAATAAAAGCAAATGTTAAAAATTAAAAATGAGTGAAATTAAGAAAGTTAGAAGAAAAAAAACAAGTGGAATAAAAAAGAAAAAAATTAATAAATCTAATAAAGCTAAAAAGCAAATTAAAAAAGTTTATTTGTTTTAAATTAATTTTATAAATAAAAATATCACAATCCAAAACAAATAAACTGTTTTTACCCAAGATAAAGTGTCAAATTTGAGAGATTATTGTAATTTGCTAAAGCAGTTCCTAATCCTGAAGTACCTTAATCACCAATTTAATTTCCACTTTTTAAATGATGATTAAAAAAATTAATTAATATGTTATTTAGAAGGAAAAAATGAAGAAAAAATATGAAATTATAAAAAATGAACTAACAAATCATAAAAGCATATGTTGAAAATATAAAAAAGAATGAAATCATAAAAGAAAGTAGAAATAAAAAGACAAGTATAATTAAATGAAAAAGATTAATAAATCTAATAAAAAGCTAATAAACAAATTAAAAGAGTTTAATTATTTAAAATTCATTCTAATAAATAAAAATATCAAAATCCAAAATAAATAAACTATTTTACCTAAGAACAAGTGTCAAATTTGACAGATTAGTGCAATTTGATAAAGCAGAACCTAAGCCTGAAGTACCTTAATCACCAATTTAGTTTCCACTTTTTAAATATTCAAGAAAAAATTTATAATTCATAAGTTATTAAGAAAAAGAGAAAAAATACAAAAAAAAGTACAATAAAGAAAAAGATTAATAAATCTAATAAAAAGCTAATAAACAAATAAAAAGAGTTTATTTGTTTTAAATTAATATTTATAAATAGAAATAAACGAATAAACTGTTTTTACCTAAGATCAAGTGTTAAATTTGAGAGATTAATGCAATTTGCTAAAGCAGAACCTAATCCTGATGCACCATTTGAATCAATTTAATTAGAACTTTTTAAATTTAAAAAATAAATGTAATTAATTAGTTATAATGAAAGATAGATGAAATAAAAACAAAGTACAATAAAAAAGAAAAAGAGTAATAAATCTAATTATAGCCAATAAAAAAATTAAAAGAGTTTAATTGTTTTAAATTCATTTTTATAAATAGAGATATCATAATCCAAAGCAAATAAACTTATTTTACCGAAAATCAAGTACCAAATTTGAGAGATTAGTGCAATTTGCTAAAGCAGAACATAAACCCAATGCACCACTAGGACCAATTTAACTAGAACTTTTTAAATATTGAACAAAAAATCTAAAATTAATAAGTTATTTAGAAAGATATAAGAAATAAAAACACAAGTACAATAAAAAAGAAAAAGATTAATAAAATTAATTTAAAGCTTATAAACAAATAAAAAAAGTTTAATTATTTTAAATTCATTTTTATAAATAGAAATATCATCATAATCCAATACAAATAAACTGTTTTTACCTAAGATCAAGAGTCAAATTTTAGAGATTAGTACAATTTGCTAAAGCAGAACCTAAGCCTGATGCACCACTTACACCAATTTAATTAGAACTTTTTAAATATTCAAGAAAAAAAATATAATTGATTAGTTATTTAGAATGATAAAAGAAGTACAAATACAAGTAAGTACAATAAAAAAGAAAAAGATTAATAAATCTAATAAACAAATTAAAAGAGTTTAATTATTTTTAATTGATTCTTACAAATAGAAGTATCACAATCCAAAACAAATAAACTGTTTTACCTAAGATGTAGTGTCAAATTTGAAAGATTAGAGCAATTTGCTAAACCAGAACCTAAGCCTGATGCACCACTTGCACCAATTTAATTTCCACTTTTTAAACAATAAACAAAAAATATATGTAATTAATAAACTATTTAGAAAGACGGAAGAAGTACAAACACAAAAACAATAAAAAAAGAAAAAGATTAATAAATAGAATTAAAAGCTAATAACAAAATAAAAAGAGTTTAATTATTTTTAATTCATTCATATAAATAGAAATATCTTAATCTAAAGCAAATAAACTGTTTTTACCGGATATCAAGTGTCAAATTTGAGAGATTAATGGCAATTTGCTAAAGCAGAACCTAAGAATGATGCACCACTTGCGCCAATTTAATTTCCACTTTTAAAAGAATAAAGAAAAAATATATAATTACTAATATATTTAGAAAAATAGAAGAAATATAAACACAAGTATAATAAAAATAAAAAGATTAATAAATCTAATAAAAATTTAATAAACAAATTAAAAGATTTAATTGTTTTAAATTAATTTTTATAAATAAAAATATCACAATCCAAAATCAAATAAACTGTTTTTACCCTAGATAAAGTGTCAAATTAGAGAGATTAGTGCAATTTGCTAAAGCATTTCCTAAGCCTGAAGTACCTTAATCACCAATTTAATTTCCACTTTTTAAATGATGATTAAAAAATATTAATTAATAAGTTATTTAGAACTAAAAAATATGAAATTATATAAATTAATTAATAAATATTAAAAGAAATTGTTGAAAATATAAAAAAGATTGAAATTATAAAATATAAAAGAAATAAAAGCACAAGTACAATAAAAAAGAAAAAGATTAATTAATTAATAAATCTAATTAAAGCTAATAAATAAATTAAAAAAGTTTTATTATTTTTAATTCATTCTTATAATAGAATTATCAAAATCCAAAACAAATAAACTGTTTTTACCCAAGAAAAAGTGTCAAATTTGAGAGATTAGTGCAATTTATTAAAGCAGAACCTAAGCCTGATGCACCACTTGCACCAATTTAATTTGAACTTTTTAAATATTGAACAAAAAATATTTTATTAATAAGTTATTTAAAAAGATAGAAGAATACAAACACAAGTAAGTACAATAAAAAAGAAAAAGATTAGTAAATCTAATTAAAAGCTAATAAATAAATAAAAAGAATTTATTTGTTTTAAATTCATTTTTATAAATAGAAATATCTTAATCCAAAGCAAATAAACTGTTTTTACCGAAGATCAAGTGTCAAATTAGAGAGATTAGTGCAATTTGCTAAAGCAGAACCTAAGCTTGATGCACCACTTGCACCAATTTAATTAGAGCTTTTTAAATATTGAATAAAACATAATTAATTAATAAATTATTTAGAAAGATAATAGAAATACAAATGCAAGTATAATAAAAAGAAAAAGATTAATTAATAAATCTAATTAAAGCTAATAAATAAATAAATTGAAAAAGTTTAATTGTTTTAAATTCATTTTTATAAATAGAAATAAACAATCCAAAACAAATAA